AGATATATATATATATATATATATATATATATAAAATAAAATATATATATATTTTTAATTATTAAATAATAATATATTAAGCTTTTAAAACACTCAATTATTTTATGTTAATCGTTATTTCAAGTGACGTCAAAAAGACTGTGAAAGTATAAAACGCGCGATGATAGTTCACTTTACATGGAGAGATAATTCAGCTGAATATTCTGAATATCACATTATTTTATGTTAAATATTTTACGATACTTATATGTTTACAAAAAACGCAACACTCAAGGCTCGCTCGGCGCTCGGCGTTCGCTCGACGCTCGGCGCTTGTTGTTTGTGTTCCAAGGTCGGTCGCGTTATCACATTCATTCATTAACGCTCGAAGGGGAAGGACGCGCCGTGAACCGCGCGTGTGTCGTATTACGTTACAAAACTTGAATATCTTCTACAACGCAATTACATTTCGGTTTGTGCGGATTGATTAAATCCTGCGAGTTTGCAACTCGTTACGAGCCTGTTCGATCGAGGTACGTGTTTGTATTGTCATACGTTTCATTTATCCGTTCGTTCAGAAGTAGGAATAAGGAAGTAGGAATAAGAAAACAGGGAAGGAATTAAAAATTACACACGTATTATTTCGCGCATTGATAATTATTTAGCGCAATTATTCTCTTTAATCATTGAATCGATATGTATCTAGCATCGTGATTTATACGTTTCGCTCTCCCTATTTGCGGATCGGAAACGCAACGTGGCGAATGAATTTCGATTTACGAATTACGGAATAATGCGATCGGATAATGCGATTTAAAACAACAGGAAGTCGTGATGTATCGATCGTTAATTAATGCATATATTTGATTATACGGATTTATAAGTACGCGAAATATATCGCGTATTTGCAACCGATTTCATATTTTTAGACGAGATTTGCCATCTTTTTCTAACAATTATTGAACAATGCGTCATATCACGTGATATCGGACGAAGCCGCTATATTCATATTGTTCGGCCATAGACGGAAAGATGCGAGCGGGAGGACAGATTCCGTGTTGTGTGGCGTTGCAATGCGATTTTTCCTAGTGAGTTACGATAAGTAAATGTACATATGTAATTAGTAGAGACTCGCGTTCTTGGTATTAGTTATCTCGTCCGGCACGAACTCGGTCTATCGATAATTCCTGAAAAGGCGCGAAACGTGTTCGGTCTTTCTCTCGTGGCGCAAAGAGCGACGATCGTTACTCACGGATATCGCGTCACGCGAATATTTATTCTTATCTTTGACTCGAACGTCTCGTAACGCGAGACATTAGCCGCCCTGAAAAGCATTTAATATTACAGTACAATATTTTTCAAATCCGAGGTAGGAGCAACAGGTGCGGCAACACCGCGAGCGGTCGGTTTTCACGTGAAGTTGGTCGCGTGATCTTCAAGGGCGGACGCCTTTGTCTCTCTTCGGCCATCTTTGAACTTGCGACGTTAACTGTGCAAAACATTACCCCCGAGAGCGTGGAAGGGACAATAATGGTAAAGTAATTTCACATGGTCGTAGTTCCTTGAGCACTGTGCTCTTCCGTCGCGACTGTAAAGGTGCGTGTGCGACTAATGTCGGAAGTGTCGTGCGGAGTATTGTACAGAGTGCCGTGCAAAGTGCCGTGCAAAGTGCCGCGCGATCATAATTAACCTCGTTTCCGCGAGTCAACGTTATGCGAGCATCGCGAGAAGAAGCGCGACAATGGATGCACAAGAGAGAGAAGAAGAAGGAGAGAGAGGAGACGCGGAAGGAATCGGACAACAGCGGAACATCCATGAGGTAATAATTACATATCTTCTTGTTTGTAAAATTAATTGTTTACTTTCTTATGCCAGTTTTTTGTGTAACGGAAAGTTTGTTAAAAGTGGAAACAAAATATTAAGAAACTCATGCCATTCTTTGTACAACAAGGAATAAATCAGATAATTTTTTTTAATTTGTGTGTGTGTGTGTGTGTATATGTATATGTAGTAATAATGATTAAGTGTAGTAGTAATTAAAAAAGTTATCTAGTTCTTAATACATACAATTTAATACACAGTAATGCAATAATGGTGCATGAAAAATAATTATATTTAATGTACATATAAGATATACTTGAAAAGAAATCAGAGAACTTAAAATAGAAATTTTTTTATAAATTGAGAAAAAAATTAGGTTAGGTTTTGTATTAAAAATTAAACTTTCATTTATCCAATTATTTAAAAATCTATACATTTAAAATGTTACGAAGTTCGAACGAAGTTTGTTATAAATTTCATATAAATTTTTTAAAATGAGATATCGATTTAAAAAATGAATAATTCAACGTAAAAATGAAGAGACCCGAAATAACTAATATATAAGTGAAACGCGGACAATGTTTTTATTCATTTTAATCGATTTTAAAATTTTGGAAGTGTCACGCGTTAATTCACGTTATATTTATTGTATCTTAAATTTTATTTTCGGGAGTATCGTATAAAATATCGCGATCGTAATATTGATCGTAATTTTGATTTAGATATTTATTAACTATATATTCGCGAGTAAGTATTGTGCGAAATTGAAAGAGCCATCTGATTGTTCGAAGACAAATTTGAAGATGATATTCAAAAATTCTATAAGGAGGAGTAGGCTCAAGGATGTATCAGGTTCTCGTGGAGCAACCTTGAGATAATAATTTTTCAATTTATTTAACATTTGATTCTCTCGCGTATGTGTATGTAAATTAATTAAGTTATTCTCGAAATATTTTTGACAATGTATATTTTATAGTATTATTAAATACTATAAAATATATTTGTATAAAATATATAAATAATTTATAAAATAAATTATTTATTTAATTGGTGTTAATTTAAATCATATCAGAATTAATTATTTTTTATTTATAAAGTTCAAAGAATATTCTATAAAAATAGATTCTTTTGGAAATTATGCATTACTTGTCAAAGCACTCTTGTCTGAGCACATCTCTTTTGATTAAATTAAATTAGAACGAATAAGATTTAAAAAGTATCGATATAACATAATAAAAGGAAAGTCATATCAATCACTTTTATAAAATTATATCAATAACATTTCTTTGCAAGCTTAATTATTCTGTTACTTTTAATTTAATTTTGAAAAGATAATGAATACTCAGATTTTTGACAAACAACGTATATCATTTTAATAAACATCAATTAAAGATGAATACAAAGGTTCAATGATATAAATCTGTTTATTGAAAAATTAATTATTTTGAACGCTTGCGTAATAACGTGGATATATTTATATGTTACAGATCAACGTAGCTTCGATGCAGTTATAATTCCGCTGATGCGCATCGTACCTGTGAGTGACAAATTATTTTTTATTTTAATTCGAGATAACGCATTTATGAAAATTGTACACAATATGTGTAACATATGTAACATATCTAAATTGATATATTTATCAAATTCACATTTTATAGATGCGTTGTCTTAAAATGGATGAGCTTAAAGGATTAAAATCAATATTAAATTTGGAATACACATGATATTGATTTATCCTGAATACGAGGATACAGACAAATGTTGATGTTTATAAATCAAAACTTATTATGTTATTTTGTTTATATTATATATAAAATTCATTTATTAAATAGATATGTAAAAAATTTTATAAATACATACATTGCGAGCTCTTAAAATTTATAAAATATACTCATAAATAGAAGCGGCAGTAGGAAATATTTCGTAAACAGAAAACTCGGTAAAAGCGCGATGGCAGAATTTTTGTAAAAGAGAGAAGTTATTTCTAAATCTAGTAAACTTCTAAATCTAATAAATGATATTAAAAAGGATAAAACTCGTGAAAAAAAATAAGTTTTTTATTATTGCAATTTAAAATGAAACACGGATGTTATAGTGATACAATTATTGCTCGATGAACGGTGGCATCGGACTAGTGTATCTCAATTTCTGTGCATTACGTTCTAACAATGACGCGGATTACACCGTAAATCTCCGTGTGCCCGTAAACCGTATTATATCCAAGTATTCCAGCAACAGAGTAATATCTGTATTGACTCCCGCGGCCCGAAGTCGAACTCGAGCGATAATCGATTCTCTTCCCCGAGGAGATGGTCCACGCGTTCGTCCGTCTCGTCCCGTTCTTCACGAGAAACTCTGCTCTTTTACCGCTTTACTCCGCCGCCTTATTCCTCATCGCTTCCCCGTTTCTCTATTTCTGCCTTCGTCTATCTTCCCGGAAACTCCGTAGGATCCGCGGTATTTCATATCTGGCGCAAATCCAATCCTATGAATATAATTTTCCGCGCGAGCAAAGTTTTATTGTAATCGTAAATCCGTCTGTAAATTGCCCAACGCTATCAATAACCAGCGGTGTGGCGGTACAACTCCGTTTTGTCCCTCTCTTTGCTATTTTTCCCCGTCCTGCCGCTAGACTTCGCAGACTTCGATCTCTCGTCGTAATACACCAAAGTGTTTGGCGAGAATGAAAGCGGGGACGGAAGGGTTAGGGAATTGTATGAGCTTACTCGGGCCGAAGGTACGATGAACGAAGATGTAGATAGGTGGGGAGTTGCCATTTCCGAAACGACTTCTTTCGCGATGGAACGAAACGCCGCTACAACGCCGCATTGTTATTCGATCGTACGATCAAACGAGAACAATCGATCGATCGCATTTATGCACAGTATCTTTATTATTAGTTTATCCATCAATAATTTCCTAAATATAAATGCGCTTTATTCTCAACCTTTCGTATTTGTCAAAAATAGCTGATAATCAATGGTATATCAGCTTGACAAATCACTTTTTAAAACTACTAAATGATAACACGCTGTTTATATGATTTGTTAAACTATATTCGAATAATTACTACTTGTTGGGATATAATTACGTGTACGATATTTATATTAAATTTGAATGAAATTGTTTATGTGAATATTAATGATCATAAATATTGCATAATGTTTGGAAACAATATATCTAGAAATTGCTTATTTGATAATATTTAATGATATCAAATAATTGGATAGTTCACGGGAAAATCTATCTTTAGATTTTTTTCTCAATAAAATTAAATGTATGTTGTTAAAATATTTGAAGTATACTTACTTAAGACCGCGTCCCGATTCTCCTCTGACCAGCGGAGTCTGCACACTCCCTTGAAAAACGGCACCACCGTCGCCGGTTACCCTCAACATATCCGCCCCCACGATAACTCGTTCCTTTTCCGCGGAGAAGAGTACTCCTCCTCGCGGATCGGTTATCCGGAAACCTCTAGAAACGCAATCGACACGATCCTCTCCTGGAAGCAGAATTTAATCGAACTTGATATAATTGCTTAATAATTTTAAATCTAAAATGTATAATATATAACATAACAATTATATACATATTGTTATATACGTGTAATTTAATCTGGAACATTTCTCACAAAACTAGAGTTCCATTACGTGTATAGTTTTAAGTTGGGTCATGTATAATTTTATTTCTTTCTGAAAAATTAAGATTACTTCTTGACGTCGGGCGATATGAAAAATGCAGGCTCCCGTACGCGATCATCAATATAACTTACCAACTGTTAATCGCGCGAGAAGCCGACCATCGTGAGATCTCGCCGAGGCCGTAAAATTACTCCATGATTCCAGCACTAAGTTTTTGCCCCTCCGAGATCTCAGACTAGAGGCCACGAGGGCGTCTAACACGGCAGCTTGACCTCTTAGCTCGATTCCCCCAGGCACCACTTTTAGCGAGCCGATACCTTCCTGAAAGAAAAGGAAATGACTGTCAGGACAGAGGAGCGAACCGTCGAAACTTTCTAGGCCGCGGCTATAGCGTTCGATAAAAATAGAGCAGAGCCTCGCCACGATTTATTGTACCCTTGTATACCCATTCTATTTTCCATTAAATTGACAGCTGATTCAGGCTTTCTGTTTCCTATAAATTCTGTTTTGTCTGTCGCCAAAATACAATACTCAATTTTTAACAATACTTCAACTGATCTTCCAATTTATCAGAATGCCGTTTCCTAAAGAAAAATCGAACGTTAAATTATGCAGAAAAATTATCGTGAAAATTAAGATAGGACGCGACGAGCAGGACAGCCTTTATATCGAACCGAAATGGTCTAAGGCGCTTTTCGCATACGCTGTATACGCCATAGGCAAAGCTGGAATTTATTAAAATCGGAAATCGCACGTCGGAAAGCCTCATAATATCGATACCTTCGAGATCGAGCGAATGCGCCGTCGCGCTCGTATCGTAAAATAAAATAATATACTCCATTACTGCGTCGAGTTTCAGCGCGGTGGTATTAAGTATCGGCGGCGCCCGCCATTATTGCCACTTCAGACGGCTGAATTATAAATGCGGCGATGAGCTACGTGCGGGTTACGCGCGGTGATCCATTGTGCCCGTTCGTTTGAAATATCTGCCGTAATATCCGAAACAGTGGCGTAGGCAGAATTTTATTTTAGCTTGGGTATATCTCTTACCTCTTCCCTCTTTTTCGTTCTTTCTCTCCCTTTCATCCACCAACCATCCCCGTTGGGTGTATCGAGCGAATGAGGGAGGACGGTCACCGGGGTCGGGAGGAAAGGAGAAACGCACTATAAAGTAGACACATTGCGCGTTTGCATTCATCTCGTAAACTTTGGGTAGTCTCCCACCTGGGACTTATCCCGAGTAGAAAGTGCAATTTGGCGTTTATGAAACAGTCTTACCGCGTATAATTGCGATCGAACTTTGCCCCCGGCGGTGCTAAGTGGTATACATTTGGTCGAAAGGGTGCAAATGACTATATTTCTTCTTAAGACATAATCTTAAGTTTCATTAAGTAATCGAGAAAAATGTACTATGTACACAAAAAAAAACGGTTTGGTTGAAGTGTCTAAAAATTTGATTAAATATACATCTAAAAATAATTCTGTTAGAATATCAAAGTTATGATATAGAACGCTTAAATAATATGATAATACTAAGATTTTTTTATATTCTAGCAATTATTTTGAATATTTTGATGGTCTCAAAAGATTATTTTCAGATTTGTATATCTGGCCAAATTTTTAGATGCAAAAGTATTCTTGAGCTCAAATATTCTTTGTACATTTATATTTGCAAAGTAGAATCCTTGAGAAAATTCGAAGTATTACAATCGAAATAAAAATCACGTTTTGTATAATAGAGCAGCATTCACATTCCATGAATGTAAGCGTAGTATTTGAGAGTTAAATTCCTATAGATTCTATTTTGTCGCGCGCGTCAATACAGCGAAAATGAGTTGCGTCGCTGTTTAACCTTTTGCGCACGATATGAGCATAGTTCGACATAGTGGCCGTCGATTACATTCCTCATATTAACACGAATACGGCGTATTTTAATATCGCTTTGGAAAGCGCGTACATCTGCGGAAAATCCGTGAGTCGCACGTTGAAACGTTAAAACATTAAAAACAGTTCGAAACGGGCGGAGATCTCGCTTGGCAAATCTCCCGGTCGTCATCCTCTCAATCTCGTTTCTGTGCCTTCCTTAAAATACCGTTGCGGTAAAATAACTCGTTCTTCGTGCTAACCATCCACATTGGTTTCCGATGATTGGCCGCTCGATCGAAAGTAATCGGCACGCTCTGTCCACTTATTATTACAATTGCGAGGAAAAGAAGGGCGCTGGTCTGAGTACACGCTCTGTCCGAATTGGTTTAACTTCCGATCTAGCGAACTCCATTTCGGTCGGATTTTTTTTTTCCCGTGACCAAACATAGTGCGCTGACCGAGCTCGAACATTTGCCGAACGGCGCGGCAATTTGATACATCGACCCACGGCGAAACGATAAGGATAATTTTCGCCGTTAAACGAAAAGCTGAAAGGACAAACTTTATTATCACAAATACAGTTATATCTAATTGAAATTTAATCTTGATCAGAGTAAATATTTTAAGAGAAATATTATCATATTTACTCCGAATGAACAAAACGTCATGTCTGTGCAAGAAAAATTAAAAAAAAAAAAAAAAAGATTTTTGAGATAGGTAAAATAATTTTCATTTGAAAAACATTAAAAAAAAAAATCTTTTTTTATTCACTTGATTTAGAAAATTACTAAAGATATTTTGATACATATTTTTAGATGATCACTCAAATATTTAATTTTTAAATATTTCTATATGCTAATAATATCTCATAATTAAATAAATCGGAAATGTCAAAATTTAATTTAGTTATTTTATATTCAGATATCTCTTATAGCTTATAGAGTTATATATCATTAACTAATATTCATTTGCGATGAATATCGGCGACAAAATTAAATTATTATCCTGCCTAGACAATTGGGACGGTGAATGAACTTTGCATATAAATTCGATTGCTTTCATATGGTACGTGTGCCGTTTCGCTAATATTATTGTTAGCATTATCGTCGCGTCTTTGTTGACCGATCAAATTGCATAACTCGCCATTGTGTCGCTATAAGCGTCGTCGTTCCGAAGGAAATGACCGGCTGCCAGATTTCGCCAAGTACCGGTTGCGAGAGTACGCGGTTTAAATACTCGTTCGTGAAGTTTCCCAGCATCACTTCGGATGTGCGCAGTTACGATCGGCGACGAGGAATCGGCGAGCGGAAGGAGTGGTCTCGAGCCACCGGCACTCGATTAGCCAAATCGTTCGGAAAACGATACGATCTCTTTGCCTTCTACTTAACCGTAACCGTAAACCCCAATAGCGTTCGCGGAGAACGAGCGAGAGCGTGAGAAAGAAATAGAGAGAGAGAGAGAGAGAGAGAGAGAGAGAGAGAGACACGATAC